ATTCTCTTCCTCCTTATACAGCGATGGTAAATGCGTTGCCCAAGTTTGCATACTTAGTAAGTAACAAACAGAACCTAAATCCAGTGCCTGTCATAGGGCCTGGCCCCCACCATGCGGTCAGTAATCAATTTTGTTGCATGAATAATGATTGAATAAATTAATAAATGGATGAACAAACTCAGATCTCCAGACTCTTGTATGGCATAATCTCTGCTACTTGGCACTTGTTGTTGTTGTTTGATCATACTACTAGCAATCGTTGACTGTTATTACCATACTTTGCAGCATTACTCAGACCTTGGTAAATCCCTAAATTCATGAAATCCTCTATAACACATGCATTTCTCCCTAATATGAAAATTTTACACAGGAAAGGAAGTCTATCAAACAGCTTTAAATATTGCTTTCTATTCTTTCTGCCTCCAGTCTCAATTCCTTTCCATTTCTCTTGCCCATGGTTATTAGGGGCTGGGCAGAATCATACCCTGAACTGCACCCTTAATATGCTTTCCATGTGGCCATTCTATGGTCTGCAGGCCAGAGTTGCTTCTCTACCCCAGGGTTAGAGGCTCCAACTTGACTTTTCATCTTTATCTTTCATTTATTTTCATATTCATTCAATACATATTTTTTGAGCACCTCTTAAAAATCAGACCCTGTATTGGATACTGAAGATACAGGCATAAAGGGGACAGCCACACTGTCTCACCTCATGGAGCTCACTATCTAGTGGAAGAAACAGTGAGAAATGAAAGTTACGCATATGATTGTGTCATGTTCCTTTTGGTAAGTGCTATAAAAGGGAAGTAAAGACACTTCCCTAAGGGGAGTAGGCAATGGCCCAGTAAAAAGTAGGGGAAAGACATGCCTGGCAGAGGCACAGCATGGGTAAAAGCCCTGTAGTAGGACAGAACTTCAGTTTCCCAGGAGATTTAGAAACGCTCACGTGGCTGTAATGCTTGGATCACAGTAGGAAGCTGTTCCAGCAGCTTCCTACTGCACTGAGAGCACACTCCAAAGTTCTTACTCCAGTGAACAGGACCCCACATGGCCCAGAGCCCTACAGCAGCTTGGATCTCATTTCCTCACCACCTTTTCGCCAGCCTCATTTGCTATTCCTCAAAAGCGAGAAACAGCGTTCATTTTCCAGGCATCTATACTTTTCTCTCTCTGCCTATGACAACTTCATACCAGATATCTTCATAGCTCACCCGCCATTCCATTCAGATATGTGCTAAAAGAGCACCTTATCAAAGAGCCTTCTCTGATAGCTCTACCTACAAAAGCAACCTTCCCCCAGTCTCTATCCCATTACTCTGTATGTTGTCCTTCATTGCACTTACCACCACCTGACATATTTTTATTTTATTTAATGAACTACAAGTAGCCTTCCATTACCTTGGAAGGGCCATGAATGAGGGTAGCTTGTTGACTGCTGTATCCCTAGCACTCAAAACAGTGCCTGACTCCTAACGGGCATGCAACAACTATGTATTTATTAACAGTTGAATGGAAAGGTTGATATAAGACCAGTTCAAAGAGAAAGCCAGGAGTCATACCCTGTGATGCTATGTAGCCATGTCACCATTTTCAAAACCTCGTATCCTTCCTGAATATGCCATGCACTGTCATACCTCTGGGCTTGGCTCAGATCTTTCCACCTGCCTGCAATGCTCTTCCCACCCCTTTGCATTTCCATCTCTGTCAAGGCAAGTCCCATTGGCATAGACCATTGCTTGAACTTTCACACAGCATGTATTTAATTTCCCGTTGGATTCTAGTGAATGGGGTACATGTTTGACTCCTGTACCCAAATAGACAGCTCGTAATATAATGGGTGGGATAATGTGGATTCATGCCTGGTTCCTGTCCCAGCACAGAGTTTGACCCCAAGTAGCACTCAGGAAAATCTTTATTTAATTGGATGGCAGGAAGGCAATAATACAGGAGAGTGAATAATCCAAGTAAGTTCTGGGAGCTGAGTCAAAGTCTTGGTTGGATTTGAGGGAACATATAGTTAAGAGCACAAACTAGAGCCTGGTTGCCTAGATTTTGAATCTGGCTCTGTCACTTACTAGTGATTTACTTAACCTCTAAAGGCCTCAGTTTTCTAATCTGTAAAATGGGCATAATAATAGTATCTCTCTCTTAAGATTATTATGAGGTTTACATGAATTACTACAAGGAAGTATTCAGAACAGTACAAGAAACACAATAAATATATAGAAGCATGTTGTTTAAATATATATTTATATAAAATCAAGGATGTCATCTATAGGTAGGAGAACTTAAAGTCCAGGAAAGGCCTGAACTTGGTAGAGGGGCAGTATCTGGAGATGTACTTGGGAACTTGAGCAGAACAACCAAAGGCAAGGAAATCTTGAGGGCCAAAGCTTGATCTAGGCTGGGGCTCCAGACATTATTTTGTGGAAGAGGAGACTGAGTCCACGGGTGGAAAGGAGTGCCATCACGGCAGAGGAGTGCTGACTACTCGAGTCTATGGCCCTTAGTCTAATGCGCCCCTGATAATTTCCTCACAGTTTACCACTGAAAGCCAATAATTCATTTCCTTGATGGTGGTTTATCATTTATTTTCTTGTTTCTTTCCTCCTCATTTCCCAGATCAGTTCAGGTAGCTTATAGGAAACATACATATTAGGTAAACTATAGATTAAAAACAAAATTAGGACCAGAAAATGTATTAAAAACAAAATTAGGACTAGAAAATGTATACACTAAAATAAGAGGCCAGAAGGGTGGCCAGGTGGGAGAGGGGGAGGCACTGATGACAAACAGAACCCAAGCATCTGTAGGATTGTTATTTCCGTGTGCAAGTTAAGTTCTGAGCTTTCTGATGGCCAGAGTGAAAAGAGACACATGTCAGTTGTATAGAAGAGAAAATAAGTGTTTTCCTAGTTCTTATCCCTAAAAAGTTTCTCATTTGTGCGGGGGTCATCAAGATGATGTTGAAAGCAAAGCTCTTCTTCTTTTCTTTTGAGACAAGGTTTTGCTGTGTCACCCAGGCTGGAGTGCAGTGGCATGATCTCAGCTCACTGCAAACTTGAGCCTCCTGGGCTCAAGTGATCCTCCCCATTGGCCACCCTAGTAACTGGGACTACAGGTGCATTCCACCACACCTGGCTAATTTTTTGTAGAAACAGAGTTTTTCCATGTTGCCCAGGTTGGTCTTGAACTCATGTGCTCACAGGATCCGTCCACTTCGGCCTCCCAAAGTGCTGGGATTACAGGCTTGAGCCACTGCACCCGGCCAAAGCTTTTCTTCTGATGATCTCTATTCTCATGTCCTTGAGCCATCTTGGCTGATGGGTTATCCAGATTTTTTTCCCTGAGGTGGTTATAACTTCTGGATTTGCTTGAAGAATCTTAGATCCTCATTCTGATCTGCTGTAATTATGGGGTTTCCCTGATCAACCGAGAACTACCCTTCTGATTCAACCTCTTAGAATTTCATGGTTTTGGAAGCTCTTAAAGGTCATCAAGACCAACATCCCTATCCCACTCACCTTCTGATGTTTGAATATTCACTGCAACAACTCCATCAAGTGGCTGTCTAGCTTTTTCTTGCATGCCTTCAGTGACAAGGAACTCAGTATCTTCCAAGGCATCTAATTTCATATGTCCATGACGTTGCTTGTCTTATTTCATTGATATCTGAATCCTGGTCATACCTATCGAAAGAGGCATTTCATCACCAAGGAAAGAAATCAAGTCAAATTGGCCAGCAGGAAGAAACTCTTCGGGAATCCTTAGCTTCATTAGAAGTAGACTTTTGTTCAAATGAAGTGTTAAAATTAAAGCAGTATATATCTGAGTGGGGCCAATTGGCATTAACTCATCATAGCATATGGTGTGCTTCCTTTTATATGCATGTTTAGCAGCTAGTGGGTACCAAACCTCACACAGCTCTCAATTGCTAGCACTAATGAAGGATCTGTTTGCCTTTGGGGATAAAGATGGTATCACTGATTCACAGTTGTTTTTCCAGGAGTGAAGAACAGATTTTACTTCCTCATCCATACTCTCTTGCCTGGCCCTTTCTCATCCCTACTACCACTACCCTAATTCAGGCCTCATTGTTTCCTGCCAGGACAGTTCACCTGCCTCCAACTGGCCTCCTTGCTTTTGGTTCTGGCCCTGCCTGGTTCGAGATCACATTGCCAGAGGGATCTTCATAAGCACAGATTTGCTGTATCACTTCCAGCTTAAAATCCGTCAGTGACTCCTGTTAGTGCCAGTGTGGAATCCAAACTTCTTCACATGTAAGAAAGGCAGGGCAGCATCACAGGGTCACTTGGGCCATGAAATGGGACAAAACTAACAGTCCTCATTAGGAATATTTGAACCCCTAAAGGCATGCAAGTTCTTCTGGAACAATAGCTCACATTCATATAACTACAAATCTCTTAGTTTATTCGCCGAAAAAGTTAATTTAATCTCCACGTAGAAGAAAAAACAGAGCTCCTCTCAATACTGCTACTACTAGTGCAACTATTATTAAAAACAATAACAGATACTTTTATAGCACCTAAGCACTTTATATACAGTATTTTATTCAGTCTTCACAAGAAAGCAATGGCATTTGCACAACCCTGAGTGTGAGCACCTCCTTGAGTTTTGTACCTTGATGGCTCACTCCCTTCACCCTAGTCCCAGCCCTGGAAAGCCTTGGGTGACAGTGAAACGTGGATTAGGCTTTGCGGGCAGCTGGTGGGAAATCTTAGATGGAGAGTCTTGCCTGAGCAGAGCTCTAGACACATGGCTGGCAGTAGGATCAGAAGGGCCAGCCCAGAGTTCTGCAGTCAGCAACAGGGAGCCAGGGGGCCATCTCTGCTAGGGGCAGCATGGTGAAGACTGCAGGGCTGGGATCAGGGTTCCCATCTGTGTATATCACGGGTGGGGGCCATATGCAGTTTTCTGGGCCTCAGATTTGTACTCTGCACAATCAGAGTATTAATGACCCTCTCTGCCTCCTTTCCAGGTCCAGTTTGATGGTGGCCGTGTAGGGGTCTGATGCTCAGGAACGTGAGGTGCACCTGCAGCAAGAGGTGGTGGAGAGGGTATCTGAGAAGGTATGGGATCCTGGGGTCAGGCCCATGTTCACTTGCTCAGGAGCTTGGAGCACAACTTCCCCATTTCTGGGGGAAGGCTTTATATATCATTAAGACGGATGAAACCTCTCAGCTGGACAAACACAGCTGCACATTATGTTCACAATGAAGAGACTTGGTGTGAGATGGCTCCTGAACAGCTCACCTCCCACCATCCCAGCCATGGGCAGACCACAGCCAGAAGTAGCACGGCCTTCAAATTCCAGCCCATCTCTCTCCTCTTGATGAATACCTCTTCCAGCTCAGTGCAATGAAATGTCTCCTTCTTCCATATAAACCCAGGGCTGTGCCCAAGCCTGCTTATCCCATCACCCACACTTCCCCCAAGTCTTAAAACATGTCACTTCCTTGAGAGTAGGAGGCCCACCTTAGGAAGTATAAGATTAATGTTGATAACTAGCTAGGAGGCTCATTGAAAATATTTTGGGGTTTGCATGTTAGCTCTGTCAAATCAAGTAAAAAATCATTCTTATCTGCCATAACCAGCAGTTATGCAAATCTGCCAATGGCACTAATTAAGTGACTTCTAAAAGCATTTATCATAAACAAGGAACAGAAACATTCAGGGGCTTATTTTATTCTCTCCAGCAACCATAGCCCCATCTGATTAATGCCATATGGGGACAGTCTATTCTGGAGGGCAGGCTGGAGTTTGGTTCATTATTGGCAGATATTTGAGTTATGTGTTTTGCAACACTGTATGCTTACCAGGTAGCAGCTTCGGTGAGATAGGCCATCTTCACACTTACCCCATCATCACTTGAGATTTCAAGCCTCAACTTGACCTCATGTGGCAAGAAGAGTGTATGCCATGTACAGAAAAACTTTACATCTGTTATCATTTATGATCTTCCCAACAGCTCTGTGCTGTTTGTTATTATCCCTGCATTGCAGATAAAGAAACCTATACTTCCTTGCTATAACATTGAGTTGACCAAAATTTTTGCAAAGAGCCAGAGAGTAAATATTTCTGGCTTTGCAACCTATAATGTAAGAGCTCCATCATGACTGTTCAACTCTGCCGTTGTAGTATACAAAATCAGAGATGCATGCTGAATAAATGAATGTGCATGGCTGTGTTCAAGTCAAGCTTTATTTACAAAAACAGGTGATGGGCCATAACTTTCTGACCTCTACTGTAAAGCACTGAAATTGTTGGAGGCGGCAGGGTGAAGTACCTTTGGTAAATAGAAAGCCTTAATGAAGGGATTTGTTATAGACTCAATAAATATTTTTGAGCATCCACTCTGTGTCCGGCACTGTAAGGAATACACAGGTAAATCAAAGTGCTCATGGGAGTTGTAGAAATATCTATATGAATTCACATCACTATAATGTAAATAAAGCCCAAAGTGCTCACGGCTATTAGAAGAGGCAGATGAGACCCAGAATTCAGAGCATCTGAGGCATCACGAAGACTCCCTGGAGCAGGTTATGCTTAGCTGGGCTTTGAAGAATAATGAGGAACGAAAAGGAAGCCTTGCACATGGGGCTGGGGGAGCCATATTATTGGAGGGTCAGTGTAATCACATTTCTCCTCCTCACTCTGCTTCACCAACCAGTAGAGACCAGGGGCTTTTGCCAAGCCAAAGCCCGCGTTGGACTGGTATGGTTGTGAAAGGCTACGGAAGGCCTGAGCTTAGGACAAGGCCTGTGTAAAGAACAGATCCAAATTAGGTCATGCAAGAGCCAGTTGGAATGAGACAGGTGGTTATGGGCAGTAGAAAAAGAGAAATTGGGGTAAAAGACGTCCCACAACACTGAGTCATAAGAAATGGATAGTCCCAAGGGCTGTTGCTGTGTGAAACCTTAGGTTGCAAGTCATAATTCTGTGGTCACAACCCCTAGGTTCTGGTGCCTCGGCCAGAAGGTTTTCCCCACACCAATTGCAATAAGGATGATCTGACTTTGTGGGGCAGTGCATGTGGTGCTTTGAGATCACAAGGCACCTTCACAACCATTATCTGTTAATCTTCACAATAAATCCTATGAGGTTAGTACTATCACTCCTATTTTACAAGTAGAGAAATTGAAGCTCAGAATAGTGTACTACTGTGCCAAATAATTTGAAGCTAGGTCTGTGTGATCTCAAAGCCAGTGCTTTTCTCACTATTCAATATTGCCCATAGGATATGTGCTAGGGTTAAAGACAGAAGAATAAAAGAATAAGAAAATATAGGTTAGAACCCTAATCAGGAAGGGCCACGATAGCAGACTCAAGGCTCAAACTAATGCTGTGGGAAGGAGACAAATTCCCACCTGATTGGAAGCCCTGGGTTCCTATAAAATGTGCTTTTCTTCTTGCCCAATTGGCTAAAGGGCCTGGGAGTGAGTCTGTTCCAGGCTATCTTCTTAAACTCCCAGAGCGTCTCCCTACCCATGTGGCTGACAGTTGGTGGGCTTGGGAATACTTCATGGCTCTTCCCCTTTGCCTCCAGCTTTTACTCTCAGCCTGGTCTCTCTGGCTTCTAGCTCTTCCCAGCCAGCCCCTTGAGACTAACTATTTCTTTGGGCACTTTTTCAGGGTTCGACTCTCAGAGCATGCACAGCTAGCCTCAGTGTCTATCACAGAGGACCACATGCCCAGGCCTCGTATTCACGGCCAGCCTCCAATGTCTATTTTTAACTTCATCTCCAATTGGGGTTATGCACACTGTCTCAGGGAGGCACTGCCAAGCCTGGGCGAAGACTCTCATCACACGACTGAAAATTGTGTCTCTTTATGGGACTAGAGCCCTGATGATATAATTGATGAATTGATGCTTTAAAAAGTGGGGGTGGAGGGGCTTCTATGGTTGTCTTTGAAGAGTAAACAGACATACAGTGCATTATGCATGTGATTTAAAAGCCATAATTTAAAAAAAGCAAATATTTAAGAGATACCACTGTTTATTTGGCCCTGTTTTTGATTTTTTTTTCTTCTTATTTAAAATTCTAAAAGCCTCAAACATGGAAATGTCCAGGATTTTCTTCAGCTGTAAGAAGCCCTGATGCCCCAGCATCCCAGGTTGCTGGGAACAGGGATGGGACAGAGAATTCTGCCACTTGTCTTCTGTCCAGATCTTGGTTTAACAGAACAGCTCTCTGCTCAGTGTCCCAAGTTAGAACCCCCTCTCCAGTCGGTGCTCTGCCCACACTGCCTCCGCCTTCGTCTGGTCTTCATCTTTCTCTTGGACTGTTATTTAAACATTCTGGAACGTGATCCTTCTGTTACCAGTTTCTTCCCAGCCACTCCATTTTCCACACTGCTCTTAGAGTGATCTCTATAAAAAGCAAATCTAATCATGCCCTTCCTGGCTGAAAACACTCAGTGCCTTGATTTTACTCCTAGCTTGGTTCCAGTGGGGTCTTCTTGCTGTCATTGCCCAAGGTGACTTCTCTTGCATAGGAACACCCACAGGAGGCAGCACCTATCCAGTCCTAGAGAATAGAGGCTCCTAAGGCCAGTTCTTTCCCTGTGGGTGTTCCCCTCCCCCATGTCGTCCCATCAGCTGTCACCAGACTCATCAGGTGGACAATGATGCTGTTCTGGGAGGTTCTTTTCCAGATCTAGGAAGGGTCGTACAGCAGCAAGATCCAAAACCTGGAACACATGCTCAGTGTTCTTTTATGCCACACAAGAAAAAGTCTTAGACCTAAGGAAAGTATTAGGCACCTGAAGAAGGTGTTTGCCTTTCTGCTGGTGGTTCTTTTCCTTACTGAGTCCAGTTGCCCCAAACTATTTCCGCTTCACTGTGGGCTCCTCATTTCAGACCTTTGTCCAAGAGGCAGTTCTGCCCTTGCTGTCTCTCAGCTCTTGCAAACTCAAGTTACCAGCTTTAGTGCTTCAGGCACCGCAGGGCCCAGAGACTGAGAGGTGAGGGTTGGCTCTCGTCCTCTGGGTGAATCTGCAGTACCAGTCAGATTCCCTCCAGAGAGAGCTGGGATGATTTCTTTATATGTTTACCTAAGAGGTGAGGACCCCTCACCAAGGCAAGCAGTGAGTTTTTTTTTTTTTTTTTTTTTTTTTTTAAGAGTCGAGATCTGGCTCTGTTGCCCAGGCTGGAGTGCCATGGTGTGATCACAGCTGTCTGTAACTTCGAACTCCTGGGCTCAAGTGATCCTCCCATTTCAGCCTCCTGGGTAACTGGGACTACAGGTAGGTGCCACCATGCCTGGGTAAATTTTTTTTAAGAGATGGGGCCTTGCTATGTTGTCCAGGCTGGTCTTGAACCCTTGGCCTCAAGGAATCCTCCCATCTCACCCTTGTGAGTTGCTGGGATTGTAGCTGTGAGCCATTGCGCTGGCTCTGGTCTGTTTTTAAAATGAGTCAATCTCATCTCAAGTCCTACTGAGGATAGGGCTTTTCCTCCCATTAGCATATTTTGACCATGCGCCTTTGAGGAACCTCATGATTATGCCTGGGTTTTGCTAAGCCTGGCTTTGCTTGTAAAGGAAGGACAGCATGGCTCTGATCTACACCTGATAGAAGGGGGGAATGGAGGGGTTGCTGGTGTACCCAGCAATGCGTCCTGAAATCCTGCCACAATGTACCTCTGGCCATGTGCATGAGTTTCCTGAGGCTGCTATAACAAATTGCCACAAACTTTCAGTGGCTTAAACAGAGGTTTTTTCCCTTTCGGTTTTGGATGCCAGAATTTGAAATCAGGGTCAAGGGGCTATGTTCTCTATGGAGGCTCTGGGAAAGAATCCTTCCTTGGCTCTTCCAGCTTCCAGCAGCTCCAGGCATTCCTTGGCATGGCAGCATTGCAGCATCGCTCTAATCTCTGCTTCCTTCTTCATGGGGCCTTTCCTTTTGTGTGTCAGTCCTTTCTCTTTTGTCTCAAGTCTTCCTCTTTCTTTCTCTTGTAGGGATACCTGTCATTGGATGTAAGGCCACCGGCATTGTCCTGGATGAGCTCATTTCAAGTTCCTTAACTTAATTACATCAGCAAAGATCCTTTTCCAAAGTAAAGTCACAT